ACGCTGGCTCCAGGTGGATCTGATGCGTTTGTCCTCTGTGGGCACTCTGCACCTATGTGCACAGGCAATAATTTAAAGTATGTGGAGCCAGAGGGATTGTCTGGTGGTTAAGAGCACACACTACTCTTCCAGAAGGGTTTGATTCCCAGAACCCATATAAAGCAGCTCACAACTGCTGTCACTCCAGTTATCCAGGGTCACCCACACACATGTGACATACACTCATACACACACAATTAAAATTAAAAATTAGAAATGACATGAATGGGGCTGGGAGGAGAACTCAGAGAAGTGTTTGTCTTGCAAACATGAGGACCCGAGTTCAATTCCCAGAACCCATGTAGTTTGTTGGTTTTGGGTTTTGTTGTTTGTTTGAGACAGGGTCTCAGTCTGTAGCTCTAACTGTCCTGGAAACCACTCTGTTGACCAGGCTGACCTCGAACTCAGAGAATCACCTGCCTCTGCCTCCCGAGTACTGGGATTAAAGGCGTGCGCCACCACCGCCCGGCTAAAGTCTGAATCTTTAAGAGTGGGTAAAGAACCAAGAAGAAAGTCCTGCAAGAGGTGGCTGGAACGGTGTAGGCCGGTTTTTTTACGGTGGGAACTTGGGTGGGTACCAAGTCTTGCCCAGTTACTGAGGGCCTGGTTTAGAAGTTGACATTAGTTACAAAGAGACCAAGATAAGAGGGCAGGAACTGCAGCCTCAGATTGCTTAGGAAAGGCTGGGAGAAGCTGCAATAAACCCAAGGACATGTATTGGTCACTAGACCTGTGCCAAGGGGAAGCAGGGCCCGGGATAAGCCTAAGGGAAGGCATGTCACCCGCCACGGAGGGTCTTACATAAATGACTGCCTCCCAGAAAGTGGGGTGGTAGAGTGTGGCCAGCAAGTAAGGAAGTGGCTTATTGGCTCAGCGGTGGGAAATGGGGACAGAAGGGACACTGGCTGGCTGGGTGTTGTCCTGACAGCTGGGAGTGGGTTAATGGCTCCTATCCGTTCCTTCACCAGCATCCTGCTGAGCATTTGTTAGGAGCCAGGCTGGGAGCATCCTTCAAGGACAGCACCACACAGGGCAGCCTCCCCACCATCACCTCCCAGAAGTCTTCAGTGGTCTAGACCTGGTCCAGGGGGAAGGGGGAGGAGCAGGGATCTTCAGGCACTGTGGGGTCAGAGAAACGTGAGTTTGCTCATGTGGGCTCTAAAACCTGCTTGCTTGGGGAAGCTTCAGTGTGCTTTCTTCCCTGGGTTTGGCCCCTTTTGTTTCTCCGTTTTTTGGCCACAGACCTTTTTAAGTTGGTGCCCCATGGCTGGGCTGCAGGAAACAGAATGGGACAGGGTGTTAGATCTGTTTGGGTGGGGGACATTTCCCAGCCTGATGGCTACTTGTCCTCGGGGAGAGGGTGGGGATGTGACCCGCGCAGGCACGGGCGCTCGCAGCTGTACCCCAAATCCCTCCCTCCCCACCACCTACCCACACACTTCCTCTCCTCTGGATAGCAGCACCCAGTTTGCCGTATGATCTGGGGTGACCGCAGCTGCATTTGTAGCCTCAGGCTTTGCCGTAGCCCGGCGGGCCTGCATTTTCTCGGCGCCCTTAGGAACATGCGCTGATGGGAAGGATTTGGGGCTCAGACTGGGAACAGAGAGACCTGCAGAGTTGGGTGAAGGGAGGCTGAAGAGTTGAGAATGAAGGAAGAAGTAAGAGGACATGCTAGGAATAGGGGAAGCAGCATTTTGGGTTTTCCCATCCCAATGAGATTCCCTTCAACTCTGGCGGCCCAGCTGCTGTCATAGCACCAGCCGCAGGGGGGGCGCTGCTCCCCGACCGTTTAGCTCCCGGATGCCAGTTCGCCATAGCGCCCCCTTCTGACTAGTCTGTAGTGAAGCTCCTGAGAGGGGTTGGGAGTGGAAAAGGCTTTGTGAGCCGACCATCCTGCCGGGCTGAGTCTTGGCCTGTGGCTCACATAGACGTGCAGGCTCTGGGCGTCTCCATGACAAGGGCAGATCCTGTCTTTCTGCCCTGGCATCTCCCAGGCCTTTTATTTTTTATTTTTTATTTTTTTATTTTTTTCGAGACAGGGTTTCTCTGTGGCTTTGGAGGCTGTCCTGGAACTCCCTTGGTAGTCCAGGCTGGTCTCGAAGTTACAGAGATCCACCTGCCTCTGCCTCCCGAGTGCTGGGATTAGAGGCGTGCGCCACCAACGCCGGGCCTCCCAGGCCTTTTAGACCCCGCAGCCACAGCTGCACTTGGTCTTTTTGAAGACATCAGCCACACTTTCACAAGACACGCCCAGCTCCCTGCCTGTCCCCTCATCCTGGCTGGGCTTCAATTCAGGCCCTTCTCTGGCTGGCAGACCCTTCTTCGCCAGCTATTCAGTTGCCTAGGGTTGCTAAGATGTCACCCTCTTGCTGTGTTCTCTCGAGTCTCCCACCCACCCCGACTTTAGCTCACCTCACCTCTCCGCCATCACGTATTTTATCAGCAGAGACCGGTAGCTGGAGGGAGGGACTTCCCGATAAGCAAGTGGCCCGAGAATAATAGCAAGGCGTAATGGCAGCTCTGCAGATAAGGGTTTCCCGGGCTCCCTTGGGAGGGAGTGCCAATGGAGAATGCCTTCGTTCCTCCCTCCCTCCCTCTCTCCCTCCCTCCCTCCCTCCCTCCCTCCCTGCCTCCCTCCCTCCCTCCCTCCCTCCCTTCCTTTCTCTCTCCCTCCCTCCCTCCCTTCCTTTCTCTCTCCCTCCCTCCCTCCCTCCCTTTTGTCTGTCCTTTTTTGTTGTTGCTGTTTGTTTGTTTAGTCCTGACTGTCCTGGAACTCACTCTGTAGCCAGGCTGAGGTTGGTCTCAAACTCACAGGGATCTATCTGCTTCTATCTCCCGAGTGCTGGGGGAAAGGTGTGTGACCCTGGAGACGGCTTCTTAGACTCCACCCATGACAAAGCAGTTTAAATCTCAACCCTGGCAGCCACCGAGTTGTGTGACCAGCCTCAGTTTCCCTATCTGTAACATGCCAACACTACTACTTCAGTCCTCTGCACAATCCCAAATCAATAGTTGGTTCCTGTCTCCACCAGGGAACAGGGTCTCTTTTTTCCTCCCTGCTTCCTGGGCTTTACCCCACGGCTAATCTTTTTGTGCATACATACCCTCCACATACCAGGCATGCTTCAATCCATGGTGTCAGGGAACCCTTATGTTACTACTGGGGAAGCTGAACCGTAGGGAGGCAGTGGCCAGAGTTTGCAGAAGGTTAACAGCAGGACTGGCCTAGAGCCCCCCCAGATCTGGTGGCTGGAGAAGAGATGGCCAGTGTTCGAGGTTCCGGGGTGGGACAGGAGCCTGGGCAGGTGATTTCAGAGTCCTCTCAGACCCTTATGGAGGGTATCTGCTGGTGGTCAGGCTGCCTCCAGCTCCCTCTCCTGTCCCAGGCATCTCAGGTGGCAGCAGATTGACGCTGCTTCACAGGGTGATCATTTCCACCCCTCCCCTACTCTGCATCCCTCTCTATTTCCCCACCCCCACCCTGTCACTTAGGGCCTGTAATCAATGAGACGGAAAATGAGGAAGTGTCCGGAGCTAGCAAAGCGTGGAGAGCAGCTGGGGTAGTCCCTGCATCGTGCCTGAGTGGGTGGACCCCAGCCTTTCACCCCCAGCTCTGGTCCCAACCCAGTCATTGCTGCCATCCGCTAAGTGCCCAGCCAGGCCAGGCTCCCAGCTGGATGTCAATAAGGAGGCCTCATCCTGAAAAATGTCATGAAACCTGTGAGTGTTGCTGCCGCAGGAAAATGTGTCCAGGATGCATGTCAAAACAGCTGACACAGGGCTTCTACAAAGGGTCCCATTTATGTCATTATAGATATTGGTATGCACGCAAGAAGGGGGACTGAGTAGCAGCTACCCCTGGGAGTAAGTACAGAAAATACTCACTTTCCCTTTGTTGAACCCCAATAAAAGTATATTGCTTTTATAATTAAAAAATAACTTTAGGATAAAGTATTTCCATTATAGGGAGAACAGCTCACAGAAACGTGAATGGGTCAATGAAAATGACCAGGAACTGGGCTTTGGGCTGAAACTCTATCAACCCAGGGAGGAACGGTCTACTAACTTCTGCTGCTCCAAAGCATGGGTGGGTCTAACACTGAAGCACAGAGAGTTTGCTTTTAATTTTAGGAGCTAGCAGGGCAAAGTGACTCAAGACTATAATCCTAGCACTTGGGAGGCGCGCACACGCTGGTGCTGTAGCTCACTTGTTAAGTTCTTGTCTCACAGACATGAAGCCCTGGTTTTGATTCCTAGCATGCACCTCATAAAACTTGTGGTAACCCTGCTTGCAATCCTAGTGCTCAGGAAGAGGAGATGGGAGATTCAAAAGGTTTAAGGTTATCCTTGGCTACAAAGTGAGTTCAAGGCCAGCCTGGACTGCATAAGACTGTTTAAAATAATGAGACAGGTGGTGCACGCCTATAATCCCAGCACTACGGAGACAGAGGCAGGAGGATCTTTGAGTTCAAGGGCAGCCTGGTCTACACAGTGAGTTCGGGACAACCAGGAAATCCTGTCTCAAAAAACCAAGAGAAAGAGTTTTTAAGAGTCTTTGAAATACATGATTTTTAAGACAGGAGAGTAAGTGTGAAGAAAACCCTGGACACACAGCTTGCTGCTTTTCCCAGCCTGGCTGACAGCACAAGCACCAAGCCCACGGCGGCCCTGTAGTCTAGCCCCTCTGCCCAAACGGTTCGTTTCCCGCTAACTGGAGCATGGCCTGGCCTTCTGGAGCTCTCCAGTGAGAATGGCCCTCCAGGGTGGCCTCCTGCAGCCCTGCTCTGCTCGCACAGGGGCTCTCCTTTGTCAAGAGCCCAGGCTGGGAGAGCTGGGGGAGGCTGGTGGCTTTCAGCCTCCATCTGACCCATCCATGGACAGGGACAGAAGACTGTGAAGGGCCAGGAGGCTGTGGGTAGTCACTCCGTGTTCCACTTCTGAAGAGTCACGGAGCACAGAAATGCAGTTGGATACAAGTTTATTGGTGGAGCTGCGGTGGACTCCTCCCTCTCCCTAGGGGAAAGCTGAGGATACAGCACCAACAGAGGGATGGACAGACAGAGCCTTAAGTGGACACACAGGTACAGCAGACTCACAGGGACCAGCACAGCCACACAGGCACAAAGACACACAGACCACAGCACCAAAGAGCACACATACACGACAGACAGAACCACAGGACTAGGGCAAACAAACAAAGTGCAGGCTTTGGGGCCCCTGCATAGACAGAGCAAGGGTCACGTGGGGAGGGGGCCCCTGATGACCTCCCCAGGCATATAGGCACACGAACAGCACACAGACAGGCAGATGTCCCCAGCTAGCCAGCCAGCCTGCCACAAGGACACATGAATTGCACAGAAAGGACAAGCATGACTCTCCAGGTTGTGTGGAGCAGGAATGGTGTGGCTTCCACACACCCCACACCCCTCAACTGCTTACAGCCATTCAGTCTGATCCCCCCCCTCATACACACTTCCCCTCATACACACTTTGGTCTTGACCATCAGGGCAGGGGCTGGGGTGTTTGGCAGGTGGAAGATGGAGAGAGGATGGTCCCTTCTGTGATGGGGAGGCAGGTGCTGGGAGTCCACGGCTGAGCCTGGGCCGGGCAGTGGGGTGGGGGTGGAGCTGAGGCTCAGGCTTGGGAGGGCTCCCGGCAGCGTGGACACTGGGCCATCTCCGGCTTGTACTGCTCCACCTGCAGGGTGCAGCTGGAGAATCCAAACCGGGAATAGAGCCGGGATGAGGCTTCAGCCAGGACAGCTTCGGGGTCAGCCGTGGAGTCTGTGGGAGGGTGATAAGAGGCAGCTCAGTCCTCAGGGAGTCAGGCACAGCCGAGGGCTGTGATAAGGAGTGAAGGGGCCCAGGCACAGTATAACCCTGAAGGACTGAACAGGCCTCATTGCCTTCTGTATCACTACATTATACGGACAGCATAAAACTAAAGAAAACGTGAGACTCACACCAATGGGCCATGCTGACACGGCTACCTATTCCCGCCTGCCTCTAAGCGTCAGTACTCAGCTGGATAGCTCAGAGGCCACACCGCTGTCTTTCCAGTACAAGCCAGATGTTAAGCATTCTGCCCCACTGTCCCTCTCTAGTTACCCTCCAACACCCCACAAGTTACGATATTTTTGGCATCCAAATTGCATGCCTCTGATTGCTTCTTGCATCTGGGAGAGACTCAAAAACCCTTTGTCAGCTCATGAGTCACTGTATATATATTTTAATAGTTGAATCATAATGTAGATGTAATTTATATTCAGCTTTTTTTTCTTCAAGCATTATACCACAAACATTTTCCCTAGTTGCCATACAGGCTTCATAATCACCACTTTAAATAGCAACGTTAACACCCTGCTGAGTGGAGCTGCCACAGTCGCAGAACTACATCCTGGAGGTACTGTTTTCAGGTACTGGGTCCCCAGGCTACTTCAGAGAAGATACTCAAGTGCCCAGGCCTCCTTGTCTCCAGAGTACGTATATGCATGAGTATGCACATGAATGTGCATCAGAGAGAGATAAGGAAACCAAACAGGCAAAACAGCACTCAGGAGGCTGAGGCAGAAGAATCTTAGGGATAGCCTGGGCTACAGAGTGAGACTCAGTCTCAAGTAAGCAATGCCTCGACAGGTGAGGCTATTGCCACAGGTGGAAGCGGAGGGGCTGGTTATAAGTGCTGACTCACCGCAGAGCTGCTGGTTATAAGTGCTGACTCACCGATAGCCAGGTGTGCAGAGGCAACATGGTAGGTCAGCGTCAGGGCCCACAGGTGGAGATCGTGGGTTGCTCGGACTCCCGGCACTGACAACAGTGCGTCCCTTACAGGTTCAAACCCCACGCTGCGAGGGGCACCTGCAACCAATGCCACCATGTTGCTGCCAGGGCCCGCCCCGTCCAGGAGCAGCCCCACCAGACTCCGCTCTGCCCAGTCCCATTCTCCCCCACCCTGTTGACCGCCTCTGTCTGCAATAGCCCCCATGAAGCAGCCCCAGGGTGGGAGCGGCAGTGTTGAATTCACCTTCCATGAGGATGTGGAGAACGTCTCGAAGGGTTGGGGCTGTGGATCCAAGGGCACAGATAGAGAAGAGGAACGTACTGATGGGGTCAGCCACCTTGTACTGAGGCTGTAGAGGAAGGGACAACTCTCAGAGAAGGCTCTAGGGCCATCTTGTCAAACAGAACCTGAAGGGATCCTGAGACTCCCAGAGGGGAAGGAGACAAGGCCGAGGAATGGGAGAGGCGCTGAGAAACTAGAAACTGGAGTGGGGAAGGCAGAGGAACCAGGGAAGGGAGATGGGATTCAGAACAGGGGCGGGAGACCAAGGCAGCCTCCATAGCAGTACCTTGAAGTAGATGAGGATGGAGGCAGCCAGGACCCCCAGGCTCTGAAGGAGGTCTCCCAGCACGTGCACAAAGGCAGCCCTCACACTGGTGTTTCCCAGGGACAGCGGGTAGCTATGCCCCTCCTCCAGTGGTGCATACTCTGAACCCCTAGATCCATGGCTGTGGGGGGGCCCAGCCTGGTGCAGCACAAAGGCCATTCTGAAGGAGGAGGAGAGAAGGTCAGCCAGATGGCCTGTCCTTGGCCTCTGCTATAGGACCCCCACCCCCCCACTCCCGCCTCTGTGTGTGTGTGTGTGTGTGTGTGTGTGTGTGTGTGTGTGTGTGTGAGCACTGTCTGTCATCCTGGAAGAAGACCCTCTCGCCCTGGACCCCACCTGGTACCCATGACACACAGGGACATACAGCATATTGGCACAGACGGCGACGCTGGCGGTGAGCAGCATGGCACCCCCCTCGATGTGGTAGTCACTGTGCAGCAGGCGGAGGAAGGCCAGGTACAGCAGGATGCCAGTGACCATCCAGAGGGAGACCACAGAGGCCAAAGCCCCCAGAGTCTCTGCAGGGAGAACGAGCTGTCAGGTCAGGGCCCTCAGGCACAGGCAGGGCTGAGGGGGGAGGGTGGCACCAAGTCACGCAGGGCTTTACCTGAGCGGTGCCAGCCGAAGGTCATGGTTCGGGTGGCTGGCCGAGTCGAGAGCCAGAGAGAGAAGAGGCTGCCCATCATGCTGCCTACATCGGCCAGCAAGTGAGCAGCATCGGTCATAATGGCCAAGCTATGTGCCAAATACCCACCTGCAAGGGGGGCGAAAAGAATGCAGAGCCTGGAATTCTAGAAAATATGCAGCATGTGTGCATAGGCATGGAAAAGAAGGGGGGCACCAAAAAGAGACCAAGGCTTTCTCCAGTGTGAAGTTTACAAATATTTGTTATTATTATTATTATTTTTGTTGTTGTTGTTTTTCAAGACAGGGTTTCTTTGTGTAGCCCTAGCTGTCCTCGAACTAACAGAGATCCGCCTGCCTCCCAAGTGCTGGGATTAAAGGTGTGTGCCGCCACCACACTGGCTGATCATGGGTATTTTTTTCTAGTCTTTGCATGATAATATATTTGATTTTCATAACAAGACAACAGGCCAGTTCACAACGAGCCTGGCCCGCAAACCCCATGCTGGTTCATACTGAATTCCCACTTTGGTATCCTATCCTCCAGTCCCCCCCAGCCTGTCTCTTTCCGGCTTCTCCACCCAGGAGCCCTGGGTCTTGGTACAGAGTGGTCAGGAAGTACAGAGTGTGGGACTGGAGGGGTGTCCCCAACTTACCAACCACCTCCCCGGCCATGAAGAGGACGCACACAGCACAGGCGGCACACAGCTGCCTCCGGGCCTTCAGCCTCTCGGGAGAGAGGCCTGACTGGGGCATGGGGTCCTTATGGCAGTGGTGGAAGGCCATCCCCTCAAGCTTGGGCTCCTCAGGGAGGGGCTCTGAGGACTCTGCGAAAAGACTGAGGCAGGCATCACGGTCACCCTTGAGCCTGACCACAGAAATGGCCTGCTCACTCACAGGCTCAAAGAGCCTGGTGCCTGCCTGAGCAGACGGCCCATCTCTGCCCCTGTGCTAGACCCAACCATGCCTGAAGCTATGAGGGTGCATGGGGGCTCAAACACTAAGACCCAGGCTTTCTCTCCTCCCACACACAGGGCCATAGAATCCTGTATCTGAAAAGTCAAGTCTGATGCTTTACAATGGATGTGAAATGCAAGGCCCAGGGCGGGAAAGAACCAACGGGGGCCACACATGGGCAGGTAGTGAAGCCAGGACTCGATACTGACCAAATTCCTATACTATGACAGGCACCCCAGGAATGCAAAACGAATGGCCACTCTTCCTGAATGATGAGAGCTCTTGATGAACGGAACAAATGTGTACTAGACACGATGACACACAGCAGGTGGCAGATGTTGCTGTTGGAGGAATTCTGGTGCTCTCAAATGAGTTCTAGTGGGGAGATCACAGAAACCACATGAGGAAAGCCTTGAAGAATGGGGAGGATTTTGACAGACAGTCAGAGTGCCAGAGGAACATGAAACAAAGCAGGTATGAGGGCATGGTACACACAAACGCGCGCGTTGGCCCGGCAGTGGTGGCGCACGCCTTTAATCCCAGCACCCGGGAAGCAGAGGCAGGCGGATCTCTGTGAGTTCGAGGCCAGGCTGGACTGACAACCTCCAAAACAATACAGAGAAACCCTGTCTCCTAAAAACCAAAAAACAAAAACAAAAAAAAACTGATTTGCACACAAACCCTCGTCATGCATCTCAAATGCCTTGGTCCCCAAACCCTGTCTGTCCCTTCCTCTCAAGCCAGGAGATACAAGTGAGATCCTTTGAAAGGGGAGCGGAAACTGGCATGATGACTCATGCCTGCAGTCCCTGCACATAGGAGTTGAGGCGGGAGGATCAAGAGTTAAACGTTAGCAAGGGGAGCAAGCAGGGTTGACACAGGAGGGGAGGTTTCTGTCTGCCACAGCTGGGGTGGTAGCAACAGGAGCGAAGGATTTATAGTCTAGCTCATGCTACCTGGAGCCCAGTATGCCCATACATCCCTTGATAACAGGGATGGGCCGTACCTAGGGATGCCACAGGGTAGGGCTCAGACTGACTGGGAGCTATTCTAGCCAAATTCTTGCTGCCCTCACTGTCCATCCTGGACCCCAGCGAGGGAAGAACAAAACAAAGGCCCTAACACAGAAGACAGTTCTGAAACACAGGACTAACAAGGATCCTGTGGGGATCCCGTGGGGATCCTGTGGGGATGGGGGCTCTGAACTGGATAGATGGCAACAGGGACTGGTAAGGGGCACTGGCAGCTATCTGAAAAGAACACTACTAAAGGGCGGAGCCAAGGCTCCCAGAACTCGAGAGTAGGAAGGTAGCTTTATGTCGGAATGAAAAGCCCCTTCCCAGACTGAGGATGAGTGTGCATGGTTCTGGTGTTCCCAGAAGAGAGTCAGGGAGAGGACAGTGCATGACATGACTTCTACTAGGGCAGGCTGGGGGGTGGTGTTGTTCAGAACAAATCACTTTGGGACACAGGGGAGGGAGTGGCCGGATTTAATGGGGACAGGGAAGGCATCACAGGAAGTCCCAAGCCACAGACAAGCTCCTGACAGGTGGAATTACAACGACGAGGTAGGCAGCTCGGAGTGTAAGCGTGGTGTTAGGGGAAGGGCTGAGGAAAGGGCTCAGAGGAAGGAGATGAGGAGACTGTCTGACAGAGAAAACATCTTCATGTTGAAATGACCTTGATGGTGGAGGGCAGGAGGGGGGACATAGAAGAGTCTAGAATGGGTCTGGCTGGGTGCTCTGCCATGCAGTATCAGAGGAGGGTCAGGGAAACAGGCGGAGCCTAGGAAAAACCTGCAGGATTTGGTGACTAATGGTCATACGAGGATGAAAATGGTCCAGTAGATGAAGATGCAATCTGAAGAGGAAACAGATGCTGGGCAGTTAGGAGGCTTTAGAAACACATCTTCCTCGGGCTTGTGAGGTACAACACAGCTGGCCATCAACGCAGCTCCCATCAACAGGCTGCCTCCTTTTGTCTGGGTCTCTCTGCTGGGGTGTGGAGGTGTGCCTACGTTTTCTCCAGGGATGGAGGCTGTTTCCTTCCCTGGCCTTCTGAAAACCCCCAACAAACAACAAAACGATACAGCGTGAGGGGAAACAGTGAGGCCTGGGGTATTCCTTGGGCAAGTAAGAGAGGGTGATGCCAAGTCAAAAGGGTATGGGAGCGATGTCAGGGCCACGGCTGGAGCCCCGCGGCTGGAGCCCCACAGCTGCCCACCACTGCAGTCCCCTGCAGGAAGAATCCCTCCTTCCGTTCTGCTCCCCCATTCTCCCACCCACTCAGGTTTAAGCCCCCCCCCCCCAGGAAAGAACTGGAAACACAAGAAAAGAGAGACAAAAGAAGAGGATTGGGAGGGAAATAGGAAGATTGAGGGACATGAAGAACAGAAAAAGCCAGAGACCCTGTCAAATTCCAGAGACAAACGGACGGTCGGCTCCCAGACAAAATGGCTAGCGGAGGTGGCCAGGGAGGGCCTGTCGCGGTGGCCGCTCCGAGATGGCAGGGCAGACGGAGCCGGCGGCGGGCGGCGGGCGCGGGAGGCCCGCAGGGTGCGGGGGAGGTTCTGCCGCCGCCCCCGGCCCGCTGTCCCGGCCGCTCGGCGCCTCATTTCACACCTCGCCGCCCCCGGCCCCGTCTGTGCGGAGCCGGGAATACCCCCCCGCCGCCCAGCCCGCACCTGCTCCTTCCCGCCGCCCCCTCGCTTCCTCCTGGCCGCCCGCCGAGCCCGAGCCGATCCCCGGGGCCGGGGCCCACAGCTGGCCGCCGCTGGATGGGGCGCCCCGAGCCCGGGGAGCTGAGGGAAGGGTCCGGGGCCTGAAGCCGGGGCTCCGAGCCGGGAGGCGAGGCTCGCGGGGCAATGCGGGCATCGCCGCGCCTGGACCCCTCGGTCCGACGGAGCGGCGGCCGCTCGGAGCCACAGCCGCGGCGGAGGCGGCGCCGGGGTCGGGAGGCTTGGGGCGCCGCGGCAGGGGACTTGGTCGAGAAAAGGGGAGCCGGGCAGAGGCAGGCGGGGAGGGGGCGCGCCGGGCCGGGCCCGCGCTGAGGGAGACAACGAAACGGGCCGATGGCATGAGTCTGGCGGCCCCGGGCTGAGAGCCAGCCCCGGTCTGTCCTACCTCTTCAACCGCAGGCCGCCGCCGGCACTGCTGCGGTCCCGGGGACTCACGAGGCGGGTGGTCTCCGAGCCTCCGGTGGCGGGAGAGGGCTCCATGTCCCCGCGGCCCCGACCGTCTAGGCCGCACGGAGGGGGAGCGGCGGGGCCGGCCTTGCCCAAGTCCGAGCGGCGCGAGGACCACCCGGACTCCCCGCAGGGCCGTGGGGCCACCAAGTGGAGGGAACTGCGGCGACTGTGGCGCTCTGAGTCCCAACTGCAGAGCCCGCGGCCGCGGGAGCCCCGCCCCACGTGGGGCGAGCTCCCCAAGCCCCGCCTCCAGAGTCTCTCTCTCCCCCACACTTAAGACCCGCCCCCAGGACCCGCCCCCCAAACCCAAAGCCCTATCTATCCCCCCTCCCGCGGCGAATCGTGGGGTGGGGGAACCACCACGGTGCCCTGACACTGGGGTTCCAGTGAGCGCTCCTTCTCCACACCCCGCCCTCGTCCCAAGTCCCGCCCACCGGTTCCTAGCCCGGCTCTACTCACCTAGGGACCCGTCTGGCACCAAACTTTTGGAAGAGACTGCCCTATGCATGAGGGCTTAGGGGCGTCGTCCCACCACCCAATCACTCTGTGGCTCTGGCCCCCACGCGGAGGCAGACACAGGTGCCAAGTCGATCTGGAGAGAAACAGAGAGAATCTGGGGTGAGCAGTGATACATTCCCAAACAACTCTAAGGACTTTAGCCAGAAATCCCACTGTGGAGGCTCTAGAATAGGAATTCATAAGCAAAATCTGCGGCCAAGCACTCTACCGCTAATTACCGTTTATTTTTATACAGGGACCTTGGGTAGCAAAGACCCTTTCTGTTGTCCTTCAACCCATATATTATCCCCACCTTCCAGACCAGTAAACTAAGTCCTAGAAGCACACAAGGTCGTGAGACCAGGAACAAATGCCCCATCCTTTTCCCCACCTGGATCAGATTACTGCGCCGCGCCAGGCTAGCAATTGAAGACTGTGGGCTACGTTCCTCTCTCAGAGAGGCTGGGACAGCAAGAGGTGCACTGTCCCCTCTGCGGGGTCACTCGCCACCGTTTATTGAGGGAGGCTGTTTGTGCTGCCTACTCTAACACCGTCTGGTGTGCTCATTTGGGGGAAGACCAAAGTCCTGAGACAGGAGTGACTTACAGGTGTGGGTGGTCAAGGCTGGAGTCAAACTTGAAACGCTCAGTGCTCTCTACTCCTCGCACCCGCCGCCACTGCAGGATGAAAAGGAGGGGGGATCTGGGTTGCAGGTTCTCAGCTGTCACAGCCTGCGAAGAGGAGGGTCCGTAGGAGGAGGGGAGAGAGCAGGGATGGAAAGGGAGCTGGGGGCAGGGGGTAGAGAGCCAGGCAATAAACCACCAATCCGCGCCCCTTGGAACACACCGAGCCGTCTGAATTCAAGGGCTGGGGATTGACATCTGCCCTCAACATGGTTGTTCCAAACGATGACAGAGTGTATTTCCAGAAAGGAAAACAAACCAAACAAAAATGAAAAAGTGAGTGAAACCGTGTCTGGAAGTGATGGGGTTAACCCGGGAGCGCTTCGCGGAGGAGGTGAGGCTTAAAAAGGATTAGGCAAACCGGGCAGCGGGCTGGCTGTTCCGGCGGCGGGGGAAGAGTGCAGCTAGGCTCGCGCCAGGTTTGTGGGGCGGCTTGCACAAGGGAAAGGGATGGCAGTGAGCGGAGGAGCGGAGCCTTTGGGGCGGGCCTCCGCGCACGCACGCCTGGGGCCACTGTCCGCCCCGCGCTTGGGCCAAAGGGGCTCTCTCCTCCCAATCTTCCCTACGGTATTGGGGGCCTCAGCTCTCGGTTCGCGCCTCTAGAGGACAAACAGAGGGGAAGCCATGGGCCAAGGTCACCTTGTTGACCCACGCCAGAGCCAAGGTGGAAATCATGGCCCTGTCTGGCTAAGCCAGCGCCCCGGGCTCGTCTTGCCCAGCGCCGTCGGTTTTCTAAACTCGCTGCTTGCCCTGGGGTTCCCGATTCCAATTGCGCTGGTGCTTTGGCTGGGCGGGAGCGGCGGAGCGTTGCAAAGAGCCATCCCGCACTCCGGTGATCGGTGTGCTAGCCTCGCCCCCAGTGGCCAGGGCGAGCTCCAGGATGGGGAACCGGCTTCTAGGCACGCCGCGGCCGATGACGACAACAGGGACCTTGACAACAATGGCTTCCTCTGGGATTTCCCTTCCTGGGCAGCCCGCAGCGCTCAGAGCATCCCCGACTACCCAGGAGGGGGCGCGGATATTGGCACGTGCCCGACCCGCTACCGGGTGGAAAGCCGGCAGGCCTGGAAGTGAAAGGAACGTCGGAGAGGATGGATGACAGCCTCACTGTGTGTCTGGCTGCCGAATGCGCCGCCTCCAGAAGCCCAGAGCGCCGGCAGTGGGAAGACCAACAGTTGCCTTCGCTTGGGAATCTACTTTAGGAAAGCTTGGCAGTAAAACCGGTGTTTGCGCCTGCTACTCCGGGAGCCACCAAGAGGCTCTACCGGAATTCTGCACAGGGCTGTTATAAGAAACGACAGACTTGGGGGAATCGTACTGCACCTGGAGAGGGGTTTGGAAGGCCAATCCAAGGCTGGTATCCCTTATGTAACAGTCAAGTTTACTCAACACAACACCTCCCACTACCGTCTCCACGCCATAGCTGGGGATTCGTGCTGAATGAGATAGACAAGGTCCCTCTCCTAATGATTTCTAGAGATTTCTCTTCTATGGTCCTTTGTTAAGTCTGTGCAATATTGACTCATCCACGTGCCTGCTACCGGCCCTGCTCTGCCCTTCTAGCAATCTTCCCTACAGTGACTCATTGGTCATCTTAAGGTCCCAAAGGCTTGACTGACACAGGAACCCCGCATTTCTCCAGAAGGACAATTCAGGGCCAGATTCCAGAGGGCCTCCGTCAGAACAGCCTGGAAGAAGCTGCGGGGGTACCTAGGTTATAAGTCCACCCTGGGCCAGCTCCTGTTGGAAGAGGAGGCAATGAAGTCAGGATTAAAGCTGGGCGCAGGCAAAATTTGCAATCTAAGCCTGCTGTGCCCCCCCCCCGCACCTCACTAGTGGCTGCCACATGGTTCTCAATTAAACCGTTCCAAACAGAAGTGGGTTGTGAGCATGGCAGCAGGACGGAGGAGGCGGGCTTTTAGTTGGTAATAACGGGAATGACAAGAGCCTGCAGCTTAAATGCCTCCTTGCCCCAGGGAGTCTTCCCTGGCTCCTAACTAGGTCAGGTGTACTAAACGCCCTCCTGGCCTTTTCTTTCTTAGTGTCTACCTTCTGAACTGTAATTGTCATTTGACAGTTGTTTCTTCACCCAGCTCCCAGGATATCATTGGTTTTTCCTCTCTTACTGCCTATTCTCTCTCTTTGTTGCCTCCTCATCTTCTCAATCTTTTAATGCTGGACTGGTCCAGGACTTGGTCACTGTTTCCCTTACTTTTCTGCACTCACTCCTGTGGTCTCTCCTATGGTCTTAAGCCTGTAATGGTGGTACGTAACAATAGAAAGCTGTGGTTGTTACGGCTGGGGGTTGGGTGATGGGAAACCAAGTCCTATTCTATTTTTATGTTTGAAATGTATTTTAAAAGAATAAAAATAACTAGGTGGTGGTGGTGGCGGCCCACGGCTTTAATCCCAGCACTCAGAAGGCAGAGGAAGGTGGATCTCTGTGAGTTTGAGGCCAGCCTGGTCTACAGAGCCAGTTCCAGGACAGCCTCCAAAGCTGCACAAGGAAACCTTGTCTAGAAAAGAATCAAAATAGATGGTGCCTAAGGATGATGGTTCCCTGCAAACTCTCTACCCAGTGTCATTCTTGATGCTGTCTCAAGTGTCTAGCAGGGAGGCATCTTGGGTTATACATTTAAAAACTGAGCTCCTGATAGCACCCAACCCCAAATCTCCTCTTCCAACAGTGCTCCCATGTCAGAACACGACTCCATCCTCCATTTGCTCAGGCCAGAAACCTAACAGCCATCCTTGACTCTCCTATAGTCACCACAGCCTGCTCCCACCCCTCCACACTGACACCGCCTGCCCTCCCGATGGCTGTGGTCACCTCCTAGGTGACCTCCCCATTTCCACTTTCTTCTTACCTCTGACTGTTCCCAGTCCAGTATCCAGTAGCTAGGCAGCACAGGTCAGATATTCTCTCTCTCTCTCTCTCTCTCTCTCTCTCTCTCTCTCTCTCTCTCTCTCTCTCTCTCTCTCTCTCTCTCTCTCTCACACACACACACACACACACAGCCCTGGTTGTCCTGAAACTAGCTATGTAGACCAGACCTGCCTCCTCGGCTTTCCAAGTGTGGGAGTAAACGGGTGTGCCACCACTGCTCTGCTAGTCATTTTCTCTTACACATTTTCCCGCATTCCCCCTGCTCCACTCCCCACAACGCTGTAATATGCCAGCCACAGGACATTTGCACTTGTCTATATCTCTAACTGTAGCAGACTCTGTCAGACGTGCCAGTGACATAGTTCCTCATCCCTTTTTATTGCAACAATAGACAGCAAACCCAGGGCCTGTGTATGCTTGGAAAGTACTCTACCACCATTATTGAGCCACAATCCCGGCTAACTAGCCTACACCTTTTGCTTACTTTTCTTGCCATTTTTGCCCATCAGAATGTAAGCCAGATGTGGTGGCATTTGCTTGTAATCTCAGCACTCAGGAGGATGAGGCAGGATTGAGAACTTGAGGCCAGCCTGGGCTACATGGTGAGTGCAAGGCCACACTGGGCTGCAGACAGCAGTCCTGTCTCCTTTAACAATAAAACAAAGCAGGGCCAGAGTGTTGGCACAGCTGGTGAAAGCACTTACCACCAAGCTTGACACCATGAGTTCAATCCCTGACCTCCATGGCCAAAGGGGAAAACCAAATGCTACCAGTTGTCCCCTCCACCCCAGCACAGTGGTGTATGCACACACTAAGCACATGCTTACATGCACACACCAAGCACATGCTTGCATGCACACACCAAGCACATGCTCACATGCACACACCAAGCACATGCACACACCAAGTACATGCACACACCAAGCACATGCACACATGCACATACCAAGCACATGCTCACATGCACACACCAAGCACATGCACACATCAAGCACATGCACACACCAAGCACATGCACACACCAAGTACATGCACACATGCACACACCAAGTACATGCACACACCAAGTACATGCACACATGCACACACCAAGCACATGCACACATCAAGCAATGCACACATGCACACACCAAGCACAGGCTCACATGCACACACCAAGCACATGCACACATCAAGTACATGCACACACCAAGCACATGCACACATGCACATACCAAACACATGCTCACATGCACACACCAAGCACATGCACACACCAAGTACATGCACACACCAAGCACATGCACACATGCACACACCAAGCACATGCACACATCAAGCACATGCACACATGCACACACCAAGCACATGCACACATGCACACACCAAGCACATGCACACATCAAGCACATGCACACATGCACACACCAAGCACAGGCTCACATGCACACACCAAGCACATGCACACACCAAGTACATGCACACATGCACACACCAAGCACATGCACACACCAAGTACATGCACACACCAAGTACATGCACACATGCACACACCAAGCACATGCACACATCAAGCACATGCACACATCACAACCAAGCACATGCACACATGCACACACCAAGCACATGCACACACCAAGTACATGCACACACCAAGCACATGCACACATGCACACACCAAGCACATGCACACATGCACATACCAAGCACATGCTCACATGCACACACCAAGCACATGCACACATGCACACATCAAGCACATGCACACACCAAGCACATGCACACACCAAGCACATGCACACACCAAGTACATGCACACATGCACACACCAAGCACATGCACACATCAAGCACATGCACACATGCACACACCAAGCACAGGCTCACATGCACACACCAAGCACATGCACACATCAAGTACATGCACACACCAAGCACATGCACACATGCACATACCAAACACATGCTCACATGCACACACCAAGCACATGCACACACCAAGTACATGCACACACCAAGCACATGCACACATGCACACACCAAGCACATGCACACATCAAGCACATGCACACATCACAACCAAGCACAGGCTCACATGCACACACCAAGCACATGCACACACCAAGCAC